TATATATATATACTTAATGAGATATTGTGTTAAGGCAATGAGTGTTCTTGTTAGGCCAGACATTCTGAATTTCATTTTCAATTGAAATGGACAAATTATCTTAAATATCAGAGTTCTTTGGAAAAGTGATAGAGCAAGACAGAAAATCTAGTACATTTTAAAGGGTAACAAAAAGACAGTTCTGTATTAATTAGCTTCCTGATCTGACAAAATACCTGACAATAGTAACATAAATAATAAAAGGTTTGTTTTGACTCACAATTTTAGGTATAGTGGATCATGGTAGGGAAGACATGGTAATGGGAAGTTAAGGCAGTTGGTTATGTGGCATCTGCAGCCAGAGAGCCAAGAGCAATGAATGCTGCTGCTCAGCCCCTGTCTCCTTTAATGCGATCTAGGACTCCAGGTCATGGGAGTAACCCCTACTTCAGAATGTGGCTTCTGACCTCCTTTATTCCCATTAAGAAATTCTCTTGCAGACATGACCAAAGACTTGTTGCCATGGTGATTCTAAGTCCTATCATGTTGACAAACAAGATTATTAGCTACAACTCCTAAATTCTTGGAAACTAAATAGCATGCAACTGTTTCAAAAGGACATTAAGAAAAGCTCAGCCAGAATATAGTAGAATCACCACATTTCAGACTATAATGTTTATAATTAGAGCTATATAGATAGATTGTAATGTGATAGATTAAATACATTCTGAAAGCAATCAATATGAAAGATAAATTAGCCTGGAATTTGTAAATAAAAGTTGGAAAAAGGCAAATCCCTATAGAAAATGAATTTTAAGGCTAAAGGTCAATGAACAAGGATGCAGTCAATATACAGAATAAATAGAATTGTTCTTGAAATGAATTGTTGTTTTATAATATATTATTATGAGTAAAAACACTGAAAGCAAATGCAGTATGATAAAGTAACAGTAAAGATTGAAGAGCAGTTAAAGTCTCACAGTCTAGTCAACTGGATTGGAAAACTAAGTAAGAAAAATGTATTTCTAGAAATTATAAAATATCCAAAGCTGGAAATTCGCTTTAGAAAGAAGAGTCAACATAATAATCAAGTAAATAATGAATAATAGAGATTGACTGATCTAACTAGCATTGCTCTCAACCTTATAAGAAAGATTGCACCTTCCAAAAGTCCTTCCCAAATGAAAGTTCTTATTCTTTAATATTTTCTATAAAGGATTTTGCATATTTTGTATGTAACCATGTTTGTTTTAGAGGTACATTCTTATAGTTTTGAATTTATACTGAATTTTGTTTATTGTACTTTCTTTCAGTGAGTTTTTAAATTAAGACTACTGTTATAGTTGGACTATCTAGAAAGCCTGAGGATCAAAATTCAGGGGAGGAACAGTAAGCTTATATAAAGTATTTACTTTGTGGCAGACATAGCTTAGCACATTTCATATATTTACTAAAGAAAGCATCAAGCACAGGGGAAATTAAATCCCATGTTACAAAACAGTACTCAAAGTTAAAATGAAAAGGAAAATCAAACATATACTTCCAAAGATATCAGGCTTTGAAGCCAAAGTAAGAAGAGCAACAGTATTAACCAGAGTATACATATTAGACTTTAGAACGCCAGTGCCTTAAAAAATACCACAAACATATAAAATAAAAGGTGAAATTTGAAAGAAATAACATGGAAACCTCTGGTTTTGGAGCAATCTCTCTGTCTCTATCTGTTTCTGTCTCTCTCTGTCTCTCTGTCTCTCTCTCTCTCTCTCTCTCTCTCTGTATGTGCTTCTGTTTCTCTGTCTGCTTCTCTCTGATATGTCTACAAGAAAAATATAGAGAATTCAGAGATGTAGACTAAAAACTGGGTAGAAATTTTTGTATTATAAATAAGCAAGATTGATTCTAGTTTAATTTAAAAAGCCTAACTCCATGTGACTTTAAATAATTGACAGAAAACTCTTTACTCCTTTCTTGATTCCCTCTCTGATTAGCTAAAAAATGAAATGGTCACTACTACAACATGATGTTTGAAAAAAAGAGATCTCTTTTTAAAATGATAATTTATAAAAGTTTCCATCATTATTGCTTTGTGGAACAAGGTCTCTCACTGGGGTCTAGGGCTCTATAACCAAGCTAAGATGCCTTCAGGAATTTGCCTGGCTTCATGTCCCCTGTGCTGATAGTACAAGCATCACCATTACTCTTGACTTTTTACATGGGTAATGGGTAACAAACTCTGTCGCAACCACATTTGATCAAGCTACTTCCCCATTCTTGAGTTATGCTTTAAATTAAATACATTGACAATTTAAGAAATGACATAGGTTAGGTGAAAATTAATTTCTTTTAGATAGAGTGATAGTTATTAAGATGTAAAACTTATTGAGTTCATTTTCAAGTTCATTTTGGCTATCTGGTGATTTCATAGGTTTCAAACAACAATGAAACATAACATTACTCAGTCAGTCCTAAGTGCCAGAGGTCTTAGTACTGTATTTTATCTAATTACCAAATATGGAATATAGAAAAGGAATTCCCAATTTTACTATTTTAAAGGCTAAAATCTACAGCAGAGGAGGTATACAATTTGTATTAGAACACATGGAAAGTAGCAGAAAAATCCTCAAATTAGACCAGGGTGCCTTTAGAACACTCACTCACAATTGCTACCATATTCAGTAAATTATTGATTCTGGCTGAAGTTATTGACTCTGGAAAAGCAATTGTTTTATTTTCATAGAACTACCTGTTCAGAATCTCTGGTAGTTTGAAATCAGTCATACAGAAATATCTTTAACATAGAATTCAGCAAATGCTACAGATGAGACCTTCACAAGGCACTTTTTCCTCTTCCTACTAGGCAATACGACAACACCACTGCCTTACCGCCAAAGCCTTATCATGATTATTCTATGCTAGGATACATATATAAATACCAGGTACACATTTAGCATTTTATACCATATATGTATTGGACATAAAATGGGATAGATTGAGGAAATGATCAGGAGTATTTATTGAATTAAGAAGTCAACTTTTCTCATCAGGTTTTTAAAATAGTTTCTTATATAGCAGAATTGTAAAATCTCTCTCTCTCTCTCTCTCTCTCTCTCTCTCTCTCTCCAGTGCTAGTGGAAAGTGGAACTGTCATTTCGTTTGTGGGCTTCATTAATTCTGGATATTGTAACATATATAGAAATATTATAGGACTTGGGAAGCGACGATTAAACCAAGTGGTGAGTTTCAACTTATTAATTTATTTAACAATCTACTCTAAAAAATCAAGAATGATGATTGTGTTGCTCATGCCTTTTGGACATCAACTTTTTTTTGATTTAGGAAAATTATATTTGAATTATTTGATGAATTTCTCTTAATTGTAAGATATAGGAATGAACAATAAGAAATAAGATATGTTGAACTGTAAGTTCTAGAATGACCGATAAGTAAATTATAAGTTGCTTCATATCCTTTTTCAGAGAAATAGAATTTAAAACACCAGCAAGGTGCTGCCAAGATCAGACAGATTAAAATGAACTTTATCACACAAGCCACAAGTTTTCTTCTATATATATATATTAAATGACCAATGAAAATATGCCTACATGATTAATCACATCATGAGCCATAAACTAGACATAATTCAAATGTCCATTGACAATTGTATGGAGAAATTGGAGTATATTAGGCTAAATGACTACCACACCACAGTATAAAACCCTGCAAGAAGTTAGAATCTCAGTACTAGGCAGGATCAACCCCAATCACATTCTACTGACTTGATTTTCATAAATCAGGCAAAATAAAATTCTGCATAGGAATAGAACAGTTATAACTAACTATCCTTTCTCTCATAGTCCAATGGAAGTAAATTAAATCTTCAGCTTAATTGAATTTTGCTTTATTAGCCATATTCAGGGTAAAAGTTGCCATTTGAAAAAATGGCAAATATATAAACTGTTATGGCTTTGACTTTATCAAACTTACTAAAGACTTGCGCCTCTTCCAAGATTTTGTCATGCTCCCACTGTGAAGGACATTTGACTTTTCATAGTTGCTTCTTTTCAGATTATCTTAGTTATAATACTGTTTTTATCTCCCAGAAAATATGTCAACTTTTTTCTGGAAGCACTATTCTGAAACTGCAGTAAAGTCTTCTTCACAATGTCTCTAATTTGTAATTAAATTGGTACTTTGTCATATTAAACTCATTGTCCTTGTTTTAATAATTAATAGGTGGGTATATAGTTCAACAAAAGAATATTTATCTAGCATGTGCAAGAACCTGGATTCAATCCCCAGTAAAGCACAGACAGACAGACACACACACACACAGAGGAAAGACAGGGGAATTCTTATTTCAGTTAATCCCATCATGAATGACCATTATATTTTCCACTCTCCTCCCAGTTACCCATTATCTGTGTCTTGTAACTAAGGCTGAGGTAACAACTGGTGGTTCACGAAATGTTCAAAGATAAATTCTGATCACAAAACAGTATTCTAGAGCCTTGAAAAACAGAACTAGTTCAACATTTCTCAGACATCATCGTGTATTCAAAAATGCAACGGGCTGGGTAGTGAGATGACTCAGCTGATAAAGGTGCTTGTCGTCAAGCCTGGCAACCTGAGTGTGATCCCTGGAACCAATATAGTGGAAAGAGAGACTAGAACCCCATAAATTGACATCTGACCTCCACAGGGACACCATCTCTCTCTCTCTCTCTCTTTCTCTCTCTCTCTCTCTCACACACACACACACACACGCACACACACACACACTAAATAACTAACAAAACGTAACCTGTGATTAATTAAATGACAATGTTGTCAACTATCTTGGATATACTTAATTGACTCTAATATATCATTGGTCTAATATAAAATGTATATAAATAAATATTTTCTCTGATTTGAATGAAATTTATGGTTAATTTAACAAATGGATTATGAATAAGGGAGATTCTGATAATGAAAATGCATATGCAAATAATTTCATTAAACATCAATATTATATATATTTTGCAGAAAAAATTTAAGAAGCTTGTGTACATGGGTAAACTTAAGGAGAAGGAGTCCTTTGGTGAGATCAGTGTTCTTCTTCAAGCTCCTTCCACATGCACAATTATTACTGGACAAGAGGTTGAGATGGTAATTATCGAAGACAAAGACATACTTGGTAAATACACGTGTCTTAACTCTCATACCATTTAATTGCTTTTTTGAAACAAGAGCTCTGACAACTTGAGACAGAGAAGTGTATAAGGATATGTATGTTACAGAGGCCATGGGCATATAGATAGATGGCAGAGGGATGCTGGATAGATAAACACTCCCCTTACAGAATTTTGGATTTCATTTTGCTACTTTCTGGTTATTATCAATATTGTTGAAAATTGAATTGAAATTCTTAATGTCTTTCTGCTGATTCACAGGGTACTATTAAAAGTATTGTCCTTACCTTTCCCTGGACAACTTTTTTGTACTCAGATGTAGTACTTCTTTTATGTTATTGATTTAGGTCATATATGTATAATTTCTTTTTTGGTCTTTTTGAGACAGGGTCTCCCTGTAGCACCAGCTGTCCTGGAACTCACTATGTAGACCAGGCTGGCCTTGAACACACAGAGATCCACCTGCCTCTGCCCCCCGAGTGCTGGGATTAAAGGTGTACGCCACCACTCTTGGCACATATGTATAATTATTTTAAAGTGCAGTGAACCTTAAGGACATTAGGTTGAAGACAAGTTGCACAGTTTAAAGCCAGGATATGTCATCTTGTTATTAAGAATTATACTTCTCTAGTTTGGATTGATTTTAGAACTGATCATTTAAGGCAGACTATTAAAAAAATTAAAATATGAAAGAGCCATTTTACTGCAGTGTAATCTACCTTCACATGTCCATTGTTTAACCTTGACTTTCTTATTCTCAAGTATTTGTTTGTTCTGTTTGTTGACAGCATCTTGCCAAATTTTCCAGACTGGTCTCAGACTCACTATGAAACCCAGCTTCACCTGGAATCCACAATCTTTCTGCCTTAAACTTCCAAGTACTGAGAATGCAGTGTGTACTACCACTGCACATGTGCACCACCCAGCATGAAAAATTTTTAAATCTAGTACTTTGGAAATTGTGAATGGTATTCCTGCTAATCTAAATTTACATATATGGCCACCTCACACAAGCATTCAGACAAACAAATATTTATACACTATACATGCATACCCATGAAAATAATTATAAAATCTGAATAAATGTTATATTTTATATGTGAAAAGTTATATATAAAGCTACCTATAAATAATTATACTGGCATCATAATAATAATATAAAATATTAATTTTTACACTACTAAAGACTAACAATTGAAATATTTAAAATAAGGTCAGAAGTGATTTTTTTCTGTATATTTTTATTGAATTTTTGTGTATTTCAAATACATCATCTTAATTATCTTTATACCCCCTTTCATGTCGGCACCCTCCCCTAGCCCCTACCCTGGATTTCATGCATTCTGTTATTTATGTTAAGGTCTATCGAGTCAAGAGTCAAATTAGTGTCTCCAGATGTCCCTCAGTACAAGTTCATCAACTGGGGTCTGGTCAGCCTATCTAGAGTCACTTCCTTAAAAGAGATCTGCTATTCTTCACCCAGGAGTAATCAGGTGCCCAATCGTTCTTCAGCTAAAATTGGGGCCTACTGGCCATTTTCACAGTTCCAGAAGTGATTTTTTTTTTATTAATTAAGCTTGATAATTTTCAGACTTTAGGACACTACAATTTGAAAGAAATTAATATTTTGCTTGAGCTTAGCTTTTAATATTTTATTTATTTATTTTTTAAAATTTTATGTTTATGATTGTATTGCCTGCATGTAGGGAGGTGCACCCATGCTGTGCAATGCTCACGGAGGTCAAAAGAGGTAATCAAATCTCCTGGCACTGGAGTCACAGTTGTTAGCTTCCATGTGGGTGCTGAGAATCGAATCTGGGTCCTCTGTAAGAACAATCAGTGCTCTTAAATGCTGATCCATTTCTGCAACCCCTTGAGCTTAAATTTTTAGTAAATTGTTCCTTGAACAAAAGTATCAAATTATTTCAATGTAATCATTTTGGGATGGATGAATTAACTTCAGTTTTTACAATATTGCTGAGTTAATTTTAGTGCATTATAGAAAGTGCAGCTGAAAAATATCAAATGCCATGTCTCTGTTTTGAAATGTGCTGATACTGTTCCTGTATTACAATAGAAACTACCTTTTCTAATGTAAATGTCATTATATTTGTAAACTATTCAGTGATTCAAAAGCTCTATGTTTGCATTGCCATATAGTACTCAATTAAAAGACCTCTTACCATTTGTTTGCTATATTAAAAGATGTAAAAACAGTAATTTAAGACCAGTATTACTGTGGGTTATAGGAGATCTCAAGCAATTAATTGATTTGATTTTCAAATAAATTACTGGTGTATTGGTTAAATAAACTTATAGAAACCATCCACAAATTATTTTATTGAATATCCACATATTTTGCATTGTTGTTATTAATTTTTTGCCTTTTGAAAATTAAGTGTAATATTTTATGATCATTTTTTACATAAATTCATTACAAATAATTTTAGTTGCCAAATATTCTCAATGGAGATATTAATAAATCTTGCCAGATAAAATGCAAATATCTAAACTTGATTTAAAATTGATGAGTATGCTGCATAATCATATTACTTTTCTCTTTCTATTATAACAGATCACCCTAAATTTAGCAACTTAAATTAACACTCAAATTTGGTAGGTCTGGAATATCTGTATAGATTCTTTTCTTAGGTTTCATGCAATTGAAACAAAATATTGATCAGATGGAACTCTATCTCATATTGACTCTGGATTAGTGTCCATTTCCAAGATCCTCAAAGTTGAAAATTTAGTTCTTTGTTGTGGTAGAACTCTAGAGAAAAGGTCCCTTTTTCCTTTCTAAGTAGTTGGGTGGGCCAACTTGGCTCATTCTCTTCCACCTATCAATGAAAAAATTCCTTTCAATGACATTTTCTTGCCTTTAGAGTCTTTCCAAGTTTCTGTTTTCTGCTTCTTGAAGAACATTCTTTGTTTCTAAACAATTCATAACATTTAATCACCTAGACAATCTCTCTGCTCTAACTTCAGCTGGTTGATGTTCTTAATTATATCTCCTAAATACCCCTTCTGCCTAGTCAACATAAACATGAGGATTATACAGTGTGCCCACAGGTCACATAGATCCTTAGCGTTCCACCGATACAATGCACCTTTGCTCATGGTGAACAATTTGCTGCTGGTCTCCATCTTCTTATGGTTCACCTAAGATTTTTGTTTAAGGAGCCAGTTGGGGTTTGGAAAGAAGATAGCAAACAATCTTCATCTCCAGTCGCAAATTTTTGTATCTTTAATATATGTGAGAAACTTGGAGATTTGGTTTTCCACAACTATTTAAAAGTCAGTGCAATGATCTTAATTAATCATTACTGTTATTAATAGTTTCTTAATTTCTTGGAAATTTGTTTCAATCTACCCCTTCCTTAAGTGAATACCTTTAAAATACTAAATCTATAAATTAATCACATTTGTAATTTTTGGTGCCATACTCTGGATTGAACCAATGGGACCATGACTATCAGGCAACTATACTGTCGCTGAGTTACAGTCCCTGCCCTATAATTTTCTTATTAGGAATCTTTATAATTTCAGATTTTTTTTTCTGAGCCCACTTCATTGTCAACTTGCTCTATTCCTTTGTAACAGCATTGAGATTTTTTTCTATCTTTCTTATTCAGGATCCCCATTTGGTCTACAAAGGAAAACATGTACATTTAGAAGATATTCTCACATTATTGTCCCTGGAAAAGTTAGAAAGTACAAGCATTTCTGCTTATGTAACCTATTTGTCAGCTGGCATCATGTCTCCTTACCTTAGTCTTCTATTTTTGCTTTCTTTTTTTCTTTTCTTTTTTTTTTTTTTTTTTTTTTTTTTTTTTTTTAGGGTCTCCGAGACAGGGTCTCCCTGTATTCCCACTGGCCTAGAAGTATCTATGTGGACCAGGATGGTCTTGAACAATGGAGATCTGCCTGCCTCTGCCTACAGAGTGCTGGAACTAAAACTTAAAGGATAATCAGATTATAGTGGCATGAGGATTTTAACTTCTGAGAGTATATACAAGGCTGTCCAAGTGATCTTCTTGAAGGTCTTTTCTTTCAGTTGAGATGTAAGAGCTTTTTCTTTTTTCATAGCTCCTTTGAGAATGGATGATAAAATCTAGAGTTTGTTAGATAAATCTTCATCTCCAGTTGCAAATTTTTGTATCTTTAATGTATGTGAGAAACTTGGAGATTTGGTTTTTCACAACTATTTAAAAACAAATGTGCACTTTATCATATGTATTGCTTCAGTGACTAAACTGAGTCTTGTACTTTATCCTTAAATCATCAGTGGTGGGTCAGCTGTCTTTTAGATGCTTTAACACAATAAGCACAATAGCTTCATGAAAGACATACACCTGATATCTTTTGTATAAAGCAAGAAACATGGGTAGAGGTAGGAGAAATGATACCAACGTCCTTCCTCCAATAACTTAAAGGATATACCAGTAGTTAAGTTATCTGGGTTGTTGCTTGCATGAAATTCACAAAAATTCAGTAAAAACTTTTGTAAAAGAGAGTTTATTTGGCACACAATTCCAGGTTACAGTCCATCATGGCATGGAAGTCATAGGCATGGGAGCATGGCAGGACTGGTCACCTGTGTCCACAGTCACAACACAGCAGTACATGTATTAGTGCTCGGCTTGCCATGTCCATTTTATACTGTCCAGTACTCTACCACCTGAGAATAGTCCCATTCATAGTTAAGATATTATTTACTTGCAGATAAAGTTTTGGGTTCACAGAAGCTTTTTACTGTAAAGACTGTTTTTCAATATCATCTATGCTTATAAAATCAAATGTGATTATTTATTATAATACTTTAAAACTACATATTAGTGACAATGTAGATTGTAACCCTACAGTCCATGTCAGACTTTCTGAAGGTGTCTAAAAACAATCAATATCATGCAGTATTTCCTATTGCTACAGTGATAAGCTAGAGAAAAGAGCTGAAAACATCTAACGAGTACGAAAAACATTAATCTACATAATTAAGAAACTCACAGAATTTTCAGTGGGATGAACTGACGATATCCA